AGCGTGTTACAAACGAACCGCCGCGTGGGCGGCGTGTTTTGAAACACTGCTGCATTGTGCTAAAACACACGAGTTTTATAAAGTTACTGGAACTATGTAATATTATGTTATCTGTGCTTGAACTTAGAAGCTAGAAGCGTTTAGAATTATTGTATCGTACAATGGTTTAATAAAGGATTGATCAGCAAAGATAATAATAATATATATATAAATTGTTGGTAATGGGAACTAGTTACTCCCATTGCCAGCAATGTACCATGTTAGGTCGACCACGCGGTTCCCCCTGGAAAACATCGTTATAAAATCTTTGTGAATTTGTCACGATGGGCTAACTGACCGAACTTCATGCCCATCTTATCATCATCCACTGGTGCCCCGCCAGCGTAAACCATTAGCGCAGGCGGGTGCACCATTACATTATACTATTCAAAAGTGCTTGTAATGAGTTTATTTGAATAAAGATTATTTCTATTTCTATTTCTATCATTCATAAAAAATATCCCTGACCAATTCACAGAGCGCCATCTATTTACCACCTATAAGATAAAATTACATACAAATACCCCACCTCATACAAGTAAATAGTTCCTTCCTATTTATGTTTTTTTTTATATTACTATGGTGGCAAACAGGCATACGGCCCATCTGATGGTAAATGGTTATCGTAGCCTATGGTCGTGTGAAACACCAGGGGTGTCACGTGCGCGTTGCCAACCCTTAAGAAACCTTAATATACCCTTCTTGAAAAACCCCATGCTGTAGTCTCGTGAGAAAACCTCGGCAGGAAGTTCATTCCACAATCTAAGTGTACGCGGGAGGAAGCTCCTCTGAAACCGCACTGTTCGAGACCACTTAGGTTCCAGCGTGTGGGAATGAATTCCCTGTCGATGGCGAGGTAACTTCTAACTCCGGCAATTCCTCGGTCTATTTTATTCCGCCGCCATATAGATTCTAGATGTCACTAGATCTGAAGAATTGCGGATCACTATTGCATGCTTAGTAATAAAGTTACATACGACCAATGGGACACTGTTATCAATTACCAACCCTTCCTCTACGACCACAGTTCTGTAACATAAGATTCCATTGTGAAGCTGTACAATGATTTAAAGCTGAGCTTAATTGAGCTAGTAGTTTATCTTATTTTTTCGATTCCTCGCACGGTAGAATCACTTTGTATTCATGGGTATAGTTGTTTGTATCAGTCTGGGTGTTTTCTATGTATTTACAAAAAGATGTATCCATGTATTTATATCAGTTGTCTAGTACCCATAACACAAGCTTTGCTTAACTTGGGACTAGATGTCGCTGTGTGAATTATTCTGAGTTATTATTATTGTTGTATATACAAGTATTGTTTCAGGTGTCCATAGGGTGCGGTAACCGTTTACCATCAGATGGGCCGTATGCTTGTTTACCACTTACATAGTATAAAAAAGGCCTATTAAACGTAATGCTACGTTTACATTCAGCCGCTTCCCCTGCCACTCGCGCTGCCGGAAATATTGCCGGGCGACAACTGAGCGAGAGGGCTGAATGTAAAAACACACTGCCACTCCCGCTGCCAGTTCTTTGAGCGATAACCGACAATCGAGGGAGTGCCGGGCAACGCGAGTGGCAGCGCCAATAGCATGGGAAGTATCGTGTTTACACTCTCGCGCTGCTCACTTCCCTGCCCACTTGGGCTGAGTGTAAACGTAGCACATATTTATACTAGATATTTATATGTATATTGTCATTAGACACGAGAATATTATTGCATACCCTAGAAATCTTCATGTTCAACCACAAAAATCCTGTAGTTGGAAGTTGGTTTCAAAACACGCGGCGGGGTGTGGCGGTGGCGAGTGGTGTGTGCGTGTGACGTCACATGCCGTTTGACGGCAACCAAGGATGTCAACAGCACGACTAACTTCGTAATTTTTTTTTCGGATACTCTAATGCTGTTGGCCGCAGCTGGCCTTTACAGTTTCACCGGACGATAGGGGCCGAGTGCAGATGACACTCCAAACACGTAGAAAAGCTTCTTAAAGCTATTCAGAAAAAGTTAGCTTAAAAGTTAAGTATTATTGGATGTGAAAAACTACGTGTCCACACTGAATCAAGGTGTACTATATATCGGTTCAATGAATGAAAACACAATATAGGTACAGGTGGTTGATATATTCTTTTCTAGAACTGAACGCTACTGAACCAGATAGAATCGGACTCGGATTTTTTTCGGATACTCTAATGCTGTTGGCCGCAGCTGGCCTTTACAGCTTCACCGGACGATAGCGGCGAGTGCAGATAGCACTTCAAACACGCAGAAGGACTTATGGAGCGGGCTCTTGCCTGACAGATACGACTTTAGTCTGAGGGCACCGCTAGGTGCTCGAACCTCGGCTCAGACTGTCGTAATATCGATCCCCGTTTGAATTAGGCGATGGATAGATCGGAAGGGGCGATCCTCGTATCCTCAGGTTACTAATATAAAATTATTGAGCATAAGACATTAATTAAAAATTATTTCATTACTAGCTGTCCCGGCAAACGTTGTTTTGCCATATAAATTAATAACGCTATAAAAACATAGGGGTTGATGATAGAAGGGTGAATATTTAGGATTTTATGTATTTTTGTATGTTGTATCATAAAAAAATAGAAACTAAAAATTTTGTCTATAAAATAAAAAAATAAAATTTAGGGTGGACTACCCCTAACATTTAAGGGGATGAAAAATAAATGTTGGCCGATTCTCAGACCTACTCAATACGCTCACAAAATTTCATGAGAATCGGTCAAGCCGTTTCGGAGGAGTATGGGAACGAAAACTGTGACACGAGAATTTTATGCATAAGATTAATATTAATATACTAGTTGATAGTTTGTATTCACACGTTCCGACTTGTTAAATGTGAACTTACAAGGATTATTTAAAAGAGCGACACACAAGTTTCTTGCTCGTTCTTCTTGTGATGAGAGTGATTATCATATTACCATGATATAACTGGTTTCTGCAAATAAATTCATTTTATTAGAATAGAATAAGAATAGAAAATCATTTATTCAAATAAACTTACATTGAAGCACTTCTGAATAGTCATTACATTTTTTTAATCTACCGCTCGTTCGGAAAGCTGTCTCATCACAAGAAGAACGAGCAAGAAACTTGCGTGTTGCTCTTTTAAATAATTTTATTATTACTTTACATTTTTAAGTTTAAGTGTGTGAATACAAACCACCAATTAGCACTAATTCAATTAAATACTCAAATACAAAAAATATTGAATATATAACCAACTGGTTAAACAATTAATAAGAGGAAATCAGTCATAGTGATTAGAGCAGACCAGTCCCTACAAGCAGCACCCGTTCACGAGTATGACGGATGAGCCAGCCATCACTGCACTCGACCATATTTTATTTGATTACAAATGTTACGAAGATATTAAAATTCTCTTTTTATTTTAACACTCGTATTATTTATAAGGGGAAAGGACGTTGTTAGTGAGTGGACTGATGATCTCATTGCTAGCAAAGTACCATGTTGTCCTCCACGAGGTTCTCCCTGGAAACCATCGTGATAAACTCTTGTTAATTTGCGCTAACTGACTTGACCTCATATTCATCTTACCATCCTCCACTGGTGCCCCGCCAGTGTAAACCGTCAGTGCAGGCGGGTGCAACATTCCATTATCAACCATAAAAAAAAAGTCCTAGTCGAAATGTTGAGAGTAAATAACTTTATTTACCATAAAATTATTTATGTTTATACCCAGTTAACAATATAAATAATTTAAATCGTCGTACAATTTCAATAGAGATTGTGATCTAAAAAGAGACTTACGAAACTCGGCCAAAATACAACGCTGTACGATGATATCTGGCCAATTTTATAAGATTTTTGGTGTGAAGCGAAGTGTTTATGATTGGCAACCCTCGCGTGTACCGCCTTCTGTTGCCATGTGACATAGCATACACGTGCGATCTACATTCACTTCAGCTTACATCTATACATATAAATACAATTGGAGTGTCTGTTTGTAATATTGAAACCGTTTTTTACTACACGCATATGAATATAAATCAATTTTTGTCTGTCTGTCCGTTTGTTCCGGCTAATCTCTAAAATGGCAGGACCGATTTTGACGGGACTTTTTTTGGCAGGTAGCTGATGTAGGCCATAAGCACCTTGAACACCGAAGAAATAGTGGCTGACAACTGGTTAACCGGGGAAGTACTCTTTTAATTACGCAGCATATAACGGACACTGTCACTCACTAGGACCTGTCAGTACGGCAGCAGAATATAATTTAATGTATATATTTTTGATATGAAATATTCCACCCGCTCCATCTTCCAGGGCGCAGCTGAAATTTAAAAAATGTAGATATACACATGTCCTACACGTACACAAAAGTTTGACGTTTGATGTATTTATACGTCCCGCTCGGTTAACAGATTAAGGTTAATAATAAATAAGAAACCGGTTTAGTTAACAATAAATAATTTATTTATTATCTTTAATATATTAATAATAATATTCTAGAACACTTATGACGTTAATGTGAATGTAGTGAATGAAAAAAACAATGAAATGATTCTGAGAAAAGTTATGCTCAAATTATGACTCGTATAATACGACAAAAGTAAATAATATCACTGTTATTTATTAAATACACTGCCATATCTTTTAGATAATGAACCTTTTAGATTAGTAATAAATAATTAACAAATATTAATTCTATCCCCTGTTCATTACATCGATTTCTTCTCAATTAACCTATTTTGCAAATAATTTCAAACATAATTTAGGTTTTGGTGCATAAATATTTACAAGTGCCGTGTGATCCGCTATACATTAAACGACCAATATTATCAAAATATATAAATGCCTGAAAAAACAGTCCGCCCACTCGCATACACCACTACGTTACAGATTTCATGAGGTAATCAAATCCTTAGGATTAATATTCGTATAATACACGCAGACATCACACGTTTCTATCACAGCGGTGTTATCGGAAATGTTCCGGTGGACGGTTGATGGGTGGTTGAAGACCTAAAGGGATGTGATTGTGGTACCGCTGCGCCTCGCTCTCTTCCTCAGCGTCCTCGCTCCGGCCCTCGGCTTGTGGTAGCCCGTACTCTTGGCCCAATTGCTGGTGAGCTAAATTAAATTCATTCCCCGCGACATCCTGACCATGTTGCGCATATTCCTGTTGTGCGTACTCTTGACCATGTTGCGGATATTCCTGTGCATGCTGTGCGTAGTCTTGACCATGCTGGGCATATTCCTGTGCATGCTGTGCATACTCTTGACCATGCTGCGCATATTCTTGTGCGTGCTGTGCATAATCTTGAGCATGTTGGGCGTAGTCTTGAACGTGCTGAGAGTAATCAGGATTATGCGGGGGAAAATCCTGATTATGCTGTGAATAATCCTGTGTTGGAACAGGATACTCTTGATTCGGCTGGCCATACTCATGGTTAAGATTTTGAGGAGCACCGTACTCTTGATTGAGTTGATGTTGATGATTCAGATTTTGTTCGTATTGCGCTTGTTCAAGCTGCTGTTGAATGTGCTGTTGTAAATGATTTTGATAATCATGGTACTGCTGGTCGCTGGCAGTATGGTGTTCAAAAACTTGAGTGCCTTGCTCTTGAGTGAAGTGATGTTCCGGTTGTGGGAAATGGGCTTCAGGATGATGTACGGGGGTGATGTCGTGCGCTTGCGGTGGTACTGGAGACCATCCATTGTTGTCGATAGAGATAGCCGGCTGAGTCGGCTGCAAATGCACCGTTGGTTGTGGAACAGCCTGAGTTGGGTGTATAAGAGTGGGTTCTACAGGCACAGTTGGCGCTGGCTGCTCTAGAACTCCTTCGCCTACTGCTGCTTGTGGCACCAGATGGAATGAAGGTACTTGAGGTCGTTGTAACAAGACTTGATTGACGGATGGATGGATGGCAGGTGCGATCGGAGAAGCCAAAGGTAAAAATGGATTTTGATAGTTCAACAATGGGTATCTGGGATATGTAGCAAAGAAGGAACTTTGGACAGCGTTACCCGGTCGTATTACATATTGATATTGAGGAGCCAGTGGAACAGGAGCAGGTATGAGAGGCGCTTGTGGTAGTGGTATTGCTGCAGGTCTTAATGGTACGGCTGCTGGAGGGTGGAACGGTATCGTTGTAGCTGGGAGAATTGGCTTTACATGGTTTGAAGGTAAGAAATGAAGAGGAGGTGGAGCGATTGGTACTGGTTGGGGTGGAACAAACGGTCCTGGCTGTATGAGTACTGGTGGCGAAGGTGCTGGAATTGGATGCGCTATGGTCCCCGTTGGTTGCGCAATCGGAACTATAGGAGTAGCAGGTACAGGTGGTGCTGGTAGTATTGGTACTACTGGTTTAGGATCAACATGATGATGATGATGATGGAAGTGATGATCCGGTTTAGGAACTAGCACAGTGTTCGTATGCGGATGCTTTTGCCCAAAATGTGAATGCGGATTTCCTTTATGACCAACAGAGACTGGGTAGCGGTGACTGTGTGGATGTGCAAGGGGCACTTTCACGGCCGTTACGGATGAAGTCGGAGGGTAGGTCACCACAATGGGCTTAACCACTGAATGCGTCACTAGGGGTATATCATGTCCGAGTTTGAATGGAGGCACTGGCGACAGTACTCCCCTCTTGTGATGTTTCAATTTCCCTGCTAACCTTGCCGCCAGTCTGGCCTTCGCCCTCAGGTGCACCACATCAGCAGCTGCTAAGCACATGCACACGCATATCACCAACGCGATCTGAAATACACCACGCACCATTTTTAATAACCAGATAATCACAGAACACTACAAACACTGTCACTGCACTTTATTTCCTGTTACTTTCTATGGATGCTTACTACCGCGATTTTCATGTTGGCGCGGTCGCCTGCCCGATACAATGACCACAGCGAAACCAACTGTCATCGCCGAGTACCACCCATACTTATAACTTAAAGCAAAATACATTAGTATGTAGCCAGCGTGTAGGTTTCACTCGGGACAGCCGGACGCTTCACATCCAACCTCGTCCTTCGTAATATTACTTTCGTTCGCAGTCATAAACGATTCTATCTAAATTCTTCTTCCGAAATTGATGTATACTAGAATTTGGACGCTATATCGTTAGGTATAAAGTACATTTTGCATAGGTGGTAGTAGTTGACACGCGCGACTATGTCGTCATTCATGTAACACGGGTGCACGCGAGCATACCAATAGATTAACAAACGTAACGGGGAGAAAATTGTACCAGCTGATACAGAGACGGATTCTATACCATAAGTTATGAATCTAAAATCTAAATATATTTATTTAATCAAATTAGGTGTTATTTTGCGGAAGTCCATTTCACTATTTAATAGATTTATTATATTTTATTAATTCCAAGTCCAACCATCAAGTACCAATTCGCTGTTTGGTCACCGAACAGTCCATACTAGGCTTCTAGGGTAATTATTAAAAAAAAAGGTGAATACTGTAATTTTAACACAAGGAATCCAAATAATCTCATTCTCCCATACAATACTACAAACTTATATAGCAGAAATGCCTATTGTATGTTAATAAAAATTTACAATAAGTTGCGTAATGAAATAAATATACTACCGATAAATATGTTCAAAAGAGAGTTAAAAAGATGGCTGATCAATAAGTATTTTTACACATAATATGTGTAATAGGTGTCACATTATATATGTATTTAACAAATATATCTCTATCTATCATTGAAGCTCCCAAATTCTCAACAAGTACATTGTGGAATCACCTTCCAGCAATGGTATTTCCGAACCGATACGATATTGAAACCTTCAAGAAAAGAGCTTATTCCTTTTTAACCCTTTTTAACAGGCCGACAACGTACTCGCAGTTCCCCTGCTCATGGGCGGCGGTAATCACTTACCATCAGGTGAGCCGCGTGATCGTTTGTCCCGTGTTATAAAAAAAAAAAGTAGGTCATATACCTAATATAAAAGGACGTGTATACACACCTCATTAAATATGTATTTATATCAGTTGTCTAGTACCCATAACCGTGAGACTAGATAGTGTTGTTGTTGATAGTCCTATGATGGTTATATATAAAAAAAATCGATGACATAAGTTTAGTGTATGTATTATTTGTGAGTGGAGTCCGGGCCTGGCCGCCGGGCGTTGGTTGAGCGGCCGCTCACGTCCACTAGTTACCAAATACACCCGTGATCACTTTCCTCCGCCCGCAGCTCTCACTGCCACCACCAAGGACGTGGACATGCAGATTTCATCGCCGATGACGTCTCTATTGATAGGTGTCGTAATCCTTATCTATGTCAGGATAATTATAATAGCAGACTTAAAGTCAGGATGAAAATGCTGGTCACTCTATTCTCCCAAATTTGAATTTAAATGAATCTGTATTATTGTAAACATGTACAACATTTATTTGATGAAAATACGAGCTGAGTTTCTTGTCAGTTCTTCTCATCTTGATATCATTCCGAACTGACGGTAGATTTGACGTATCATAAGAGTCTGTAATAGACCTACATGAATAAAGATATATTGAATTTGAATTTCAATCCGCAAACTTCAGACGGTAGGGAAAAACATTAACACAAAAAACATGACGTACATAAGAGGCTACAATGTCCTATGAATAGATCTTGCCAGCTCTTCTCAATTGGATCTACTGAAGTGGATAGGGAAAAAATATATAAAAAATTTTACGTTCCCAAGCGGCTAAAATGTCCGATGGTGAATAAAATATTAAAATAAAAGTTTAAAGATCAAAATCGTCTAAAATATCTTGCAGGAATAAATAATTTATGATTTGATTCGGACCGGAAGATGCAGCGTGGGAAGGCCTCCAACAAGGTGGACCGACGATCTGGTCAAGATCGCTGGAAGGCATTGGATGCGAGCAGCGCAGGACCGATCGTGGAGATCTTTGGGGGAGGCCTAATGTCCAGCAGTGGACGTCTTCCGAAGATGATGATGATGATGATGATTTGATTTGAGATAGCTATTCTATTCTTACTATGTAAGCTATCTTGCCTTCAACACTGTAAATATAAAATACAATCAAATAAATGGTACTTACATAAAAAAATATCAGTCAGTCTATCATATCTTGCTAATGCGATTTAGATGGGACTTAACTGGTAGATAGCTAATATTATAAGGAGTAACTTAAGGTACTTTTATTTTAGAAATTTTTGATTATTTATATTTATTTATTCATTTATTTCTGATATATATATGTAGTTAAGTTAATGAACAACTTATAAAATATGTTAGTAAATTACAATTTTATTCATTCATTTATGTACTTTTAATGAAAAAAAGTTTCATTCCAGTCACGGGTAACAGATAGTGATACAATAAATAATAACGTAATCGTTATCTGGCCTGCACTAATGGTATTTTTTTTTTATTGGTTTGTTTGGGCTATTGTCAGATGTGTAGCACCTGTAGCACTGCGACCTACATAGATCTATTGTGGTCACTCTTTTTCAGAGTTCGCTACCTAGACCCGTCAGGGACAATAAATAGACATACATATATCTTATATATAAAATTCTCGTGTCACAGTTTTCGTTCTCATACTCCGCCGAAACGGCTTGACCGATTCTCATGAAATTTTGTGAGCGTATTGAGTAGGTCTGAGAATCGGCCAACATCTATTTTTCATCCTCCTAAATGTTAGGGGTAGTCCACCCCTAAATTTTTTATTTATTTTAAGGCAAAACAACGTTTGCAGGGACAGCTAGTAGATACATATAAATAATCTTATACATTTATCACTATAGTTTCCAGGGGGAACCACGTGGAGATCAATCTGACATGGTTATCTAAAACCTAAAACCTATATATAAAAATCATTATATTCACATTTTTTATTTATTTTAAGGCTAATCAATGGGTACATTAATTCACATTCTAACAATCCCATTCCCCCCCGCCAACAATGTTAGAGTAGTCCGAAAAAACAAAAGTCCGACTTGAACGTATGTTCTCTTCCGAGAAATGACAATTTAATTTTTAGTTTGGAACTTTAGCTCCGTGTACCTATGTATATGGCTATTGCGGGTAGCGCCCAACCATTAACCGCTATCTCTGGTTTCTACTCTACATTCACATGAATGTAACCTTATACCTAGTATTAGATAATAGTAGCAACCGGCCGACTCAAGTTACGTATTACTCCATAAAACTCTCAAACGTGCAACTCAAAACTGAGAGCACTCATTGTTTCTATTCCGATGAATTGTTTAACCGCCTACTGAATATACGATCAAAAGGGGGGAAAGAGGATTGTTAGTAATGTGGAGTAAATACCCCATCGCAAGCAATGTACTATGTCAGGTCAACCTCCACGCGGTTCCCCCTGGAAACCATCGTGATAAATTCTTGTTGAATTTGTCACGATGTGCTAACTGACCTGACCTCATGCTCATCTTATCATCCTCCGCTGGTGCATAAACCGTTAGGGCAAACGGGTGCACAATTCCATTAACCATAAAATAAAACGATCAAACGTCATCGAACAGACGACAGTAACTGAAATGTTATTTTTAGTTCAATAGAATAGAATAGAAAATTTGTTCTGTTGAATATAATATTAACGTCATTATAACAGTAACAGTTTATTTTGTTCGTAAAGTTGATTTAATTTCATCGGGTATCGATATATAAAACAGTTCATTAAACACGCCTACTTTATAAATGCAAATAGTGAAGTAATATATAAATAGTAAGGTTATATTTATTAAAATAAAATTTCGAACTGACCTACGCACGGTGTCAGCCAATAGGCAGTGCGAAAGTGCCAAAACGAACAAAATGTAATATCATGATTGTTTATTCTATTACCTCGGAAGTGTATTGAAAAACATACGATGTACGTGCGTATTTTACATTCGGCTCTATTACGCCTTCGCTTTCAGCTCGAACTGAAATTCCGCCTCGTTTATTATAACCATCATAACGAACTTATATTGTAATATACTATTATGTCCTATTTACAATTCCTATCCTATTTTAAATCGTAACACAATCATAAACTTTTTTGTTGTTCTGAGCAAATAATCACTGAGACTTACTTATGAATTAATTAATATTATTTTCACATTGATAACGAACAAAGCAATTGACGTTTTGTAGTTGTCATTGTCAGAAATGTCAATTTCTGTTATTATGAATTAGAATGTATCCAAGCCAATGGCTGTATAGGCTGAGTCCTTTTGCCTTTCTCTGAAAAGGGAAAGCGAACCAAAAAAAAAATTTGGAGTGTATTGATCGATTTAAAAATTGCTACACAAGTAAAGTAGCATTACAATTTAAATTCTCAACTTTACGAATCCCATTTACATGGAGAACAGTTTTAATAGAAATATATGTAGAATATGTTTTCAAGAGCAAACTACATTATTTCCCTTGTTTATAGAACGAAGAGATTCATCGTGCCGGTCTTGGTCACCTTACCACCAACTTGTGAATAGAACTGAATTAAAAATAGCCGTCGACGATGGCGGGCCGACTTCTATATGTGTACAGTGTTTAACAGACCTCGAAACTACTGTGAATTTTCTAGAAAAATGCGAGAAATCGAATGAAATACTCGCTTCCCTATACAGTTCGTGTGCAAGGCCTTTTGAGTCCAAAATAGTCGTTAAAGATGTGATGGACGGTAACGAGAACTGTTCAGAGACTGGAAATTATAAGAATTCGGATCAAAACCAATGTGGAGTGGATGCTGAGAGGAGTAAGAGTGCTAGTGCTGAGGAAGTGGTGGACAGTACGAGTCGGTGCCCCGAATGCGGGTCGGGGCGTCGGTGCCAGCACTGGACACCACCAGCCACACACAGATGTCCACTCTGTCACAAAGAGTTCACTAGGAAATTCAACTTTAAACTGCACCTGTAAGTATTTATCATTTCTTTAAACTAGAACATATTTCCATAAAATTTAAGAATTATTTATTTGGTTTTAGTTATATATTTGGTTCCCTATGAACATCAAGTTTCTTGCATTAATATATCTTTACTCTCCAGTTCATATTTTAGAAAAAATTGAAAAAATACTGGCAAGAAGCTCATCAAAATTTTTGTTTATTTTTCAAAGCCAGTTTGTTGACATTGTTTAGTAGCCATAACACAAGCTGCTTAGCTTGGTACTAGATGGTGTTATGCGAATTGTACTGAAATTTTATTATTATATATTTTATATAATAGTAGATACCCACCCAGATTTCGCACTGGTATAGATACATATATTATACATAAATAAACCTTGAATCACTCTATCTGCTACAAAACTGCATCAAAGCCCATTGCATAGTTTAAACGATATAAGCAAACAGACAGCCGAAGTGACTTCATTTAATTCTATGTAAAGATGTCTAACATGTGAAAATATGTTGCATGTACAACTATGATTAGTGACCAACATGAAGACATATTAGTAACCAGACCACTTCCATTTGAGCTTCTTTATTGTTCTTGTGAACTCTTGTTTTGAGAATAAAATAAAACAACAACTCGATATAACATAAGAAAAAAAAATTACTCCTGTATTCTTCCCTGTCTACTATATGGGTGCCAAGCATGGGATTGCATAACATAAAATATGAGCAAAATAAAGGTATGTCAAAATAACATGGAATGAAGCAAAATCAAACTCACTAGTAAGAGAAAAAACCAAATTGAAAGACAGTCAAAACTATTAAGAAACTTAACTGGAAGTGGACAGGACATGCAATAAGAAGTAAGAAAGAGAAATGGACTAAGGATGTCTTAGATCCAAGAGAACAAAAAAAAATGGGGGCAGCAGAAAAAGAGGTTGGGAGGATGATGGAGACGGAGAAGGAACGCGTCGGACAGAGGAGCCTGGACTCCTTTGAAGGAGGTTCCAATGTCCTTATGTCTTGGGATAAGCTGATGATCATCAGCACAAAGGCTATAAATAAAATAAATAAATAAGTCGTCAAATCATTTTAAAAAAGTAGTGTACTAGTATGTTTAAATTTGCAGCAAGCGTCACAGTGGTGAGCGAGAGTTCCCGTGCGCGTCGTGCGGGCGGCGGCAGGTGACGCGGTGCCTGGCGGCGCGGCACTGCCGCCCGCGGCCGCGCCGCGCCTGCCCGCAGCCCGGCTGTCTCAAGACCTTCACCACCAACACCAACCTCCGGACTCACCTCACCACACACACCGGTCACCTGTTCTTTATTACACACAATCCTAGTGACTATAAAAAGTAATAATTTAAAAGAAAGTACCAGTTGAGATGCTTGACAGTTCTTCTCATCAGAAGTAGCAGTCTGAACTGGACGGTAGGGGCCACAGAAGAAATTATTTGATCTGTGGTAAGGAGTAACTAGCTTATGTCACTGACTATACTATATTAAATTATTATATATAGGTATTTCTAGTTTATAAAAAACACATAGCCTAACTTAGGAACTAGTAGCGAATATACTTGGCAAGAAATTTTATGTGTTTTTATACTTATTATATTTCATTGTGTCGGATGTGAATAAATATTTTTTACTATAACTTATGTTACAGGTGAAAGACCACATGCGTGTGTTGAGTGTGGGAAAACTTTTACATCTAAAAATACACTCAATGACCATAAGAGGATCCATACAGGTTAGGAGCATTAATTTTTATTCATATAAAATAAATAAATAACCCTGGACAATTAACACAACGCCATCCAGTACCATGGTAAGCAGAGCTTGTGTTATGGGTAGTAGACACCTGATATAAATACTTAGATATTTTTTTGTAAATACATATATAATGTATATAGAAAACACCCAGACCGATACAAACAGTCATACTCACGACAATTGTTTGCACAGTCTTGCACGGTGGCATCGGTGCAATCGAACCAGTGACCATCGGAAGTAAAGCTGTGTGAGAAACCGCTAGACCACCAAGGTTTATGTTTACTATAGTGACTAATGACAAGTCAATTCGATCGTTGTATCAGAATGAACTAAGAGTTTTTATCAGTACAAAAATCTCTTAAAATACTTTGCTCACTGTAGAATATTTCGTTATTTGTGATGTATTCCATGTACATGTTGATAGATACTTAAGTCTGGGAATAGGTCCCAATAAATGTCAATTCTATTGAAATTGAAAAGAGCTATTCTCCTAATATTTTTTTATTTCATAAGAATCTTCTGACTATAACAAACAACAACACAAGAATGGGCAAAATCGGTCCAGCCTTTTGCGCGTGATGCGAAATGCGTGACCAAAGAAATGGGGATTCATTTATATCTTAATATACAAAATTCTCGTGTCACAGTTTTCGTTCCCATACTCATCCGAAACGGCTTGACCGATTCTCATGAAATTTTGTGAGCGTATTGAGTAGGTCTGAGAATCGGCCAACATCTATTTTTCATCCCCCTAAATGTTAGGGGTAGTCCACCCCTAATTTTTTGTTTTATTTAAGGCAAAACAACGTTTGCCGGGACAGCTAGTATATATACATATATATATAATATATTTATGACTGGCTGTTTCACTCTATTAAAACTGTATGCTGTTTTATTCTGAAGTAGGTATATAATTGTAAAGTTTCATTAAAATTCATAGCAACGAGTAAAAACGTACATCTATCTATCCACATTTATACACTACTGCGTTTGTAATATTAGTAAGTTTTATGTATCAAATATGTGACAAGAAACGGTATGTGCAGGCGTGAAGCCGTACATGTGTGCGGAGTGCGGCGCTCGCTTCGCCACCAACAAGCTGGCGGCGCACCTCCGCTCGCACCGGCGGGGCCCCGCGGACCGCGGGGTGTGTGCCCCGGGCGCCCCGGGTGCCCCGGGTGCCCCGCGTGCCGCCGGTGCCCCGCAGCCCGGGGCGGCCCCGCACGCGTGCCGGGCGTGCCCCGCACGCTACCGACACTCACAGTCGCTCAACAAGCACGTACGACGACACCATCAGGTTCGACAGTCTACGTTAGTTTTATTTTTTATTTTACTTGGATATGTTTCGTTGATCTCAGATACTAGTACATAGCTGTCTACTGGTTTTAGGAGTTCATCTTACTACCGTAGTGTTGCCGTGAACTATTTTATAATGTTTAGTTCTATTTTTTTATGCAACTGAATTATTATACAGGCTGACAGCCCTCCTGATGTATAATAAGTGTTAACCGTGTCACGTATATGATCTGACAGTCCTCCTATGATATTGTCAACCGTGTCAATATGATCTGACAGTCCTGCTGATGATAAGTGTCAACCGTGTCACGTATATGATCTGACAGTTATTCCTGATGACAAGTGTCAACCGTATATATGATCTGACATAATGACAAGTGTCAACCGTGTCACGTATATGATCTGACAGTCCTGCTGATGATAAGTGTCAACCGTGTCACGTATATGATCTGACAGTCCTCCTGATGACAAGTGTCAACCGTGTCACGTATATGATCTGACAGTCCTATATGACAAATGTCAACCGTGTCACGTATATGATCTGACAGTCCTCCTGATGATAAGTGTCAACCGTGTCACGTATATGATCTGACAGTCCTCCTGATGACAAGTGTCAACCGTGTCACGTATATGATCTGACAGTCCTGCTGATGATAAGTGTCAACCGTGTCACGTATATGATCTGACAGTCCTCCTGATGACAAGTGTCAACCGTGTCACGTATATGATCTGACAGTCCTGCTGATGACAAGTGTCAACCGTGTCACGTATATGATCTGACAGTCCTCCGATGATAAGTGTCAACGCGTGTCACGTATATGATCTGACAGTCCTCCTGATGACAAGTGTCAACCGTGTCACGTATATGATCTGAGAGTCCTCCTGATGACAAGTGTCAACCGTGTCACTTATATGATCTGACAGTCCTCATGACAAGTGTTAACGTGTCACGTATATGATCTGACAGTCCTCCTGATGACAAGTTGCAACGTGTGGTTTTGATCTGACAGTCCTCCTGATTTAAGTGTCAAACGTGTCAATATGATCTGACAGTCCTGATGATAAGTGTCAACCGTGTCACGTATATGATCTGACAGTCCTCCTTGACAAGTGTCAACCGTGTATATATGATTAGACTATTTTTTTATGACACGTGTCAACCGTGTCACGTATATGATCTGACAGGCCTCCTGATAACAAGTGTCAACCGTGTCACGTATATGATCTGACAGTCCTCCTGATGACAAGTGTCAACCGTGTCACGTATATGATCTGACAGTCCTCCTGATGACAAGTGTCAACCGTGTCACGTATATGCATTTAAAGCACCAGGAACGTCACCATCATGTGACGTACACGGTTGACGCTGATGCATTCCCATTTAAGAGATCTGACGACTGCACGTCTGCAGCATCTCTAATGCTCCTTAAATATCTAAATATATATAACTCAAAGGTGTCGGACTGTCGGGCATCCGCTAAGAAAGGATTTTGATAAATTCCACCCTTGAAAGGATACATTAACGCAAACGAAGCCGCGGGCAAAAGCTAATCGTTAATAAATATTTAGTTAAATATCACTAAATTTTTAATGAGCTATTCCTCTCAGATTTAATATTTAAGGATTGTAATGACAACTTTACTGGAGAGATCATAGCATTAGCAATTCGATAAGCAATGATATTGCAAGTAATATAAATTATTCGATAAACACATCCTAAGAATTTTATAATATTGATATAAACATTCTTCTTTACGTGCGATGGCCTTTATCTTTTGTAATTTGTATTTGTTCAAAATACATTATAAATCTATATATATTTAGTTTAGTTTAGTTTTTTTGTTTTAAATATGTTAAATTTATTTTTAAATTTCACAATCTACTTCAAGCTGTGTTTTGATACTGAAACCTGATTTTTTCTTTTCCAGAATATAGCTGAATCAAAACCTTTGCTGGAAAAGCATCAATGAAGACTCACAATTATAAGACATCCAGCTCAAACGAACTTTAGTGTTCGGTGACTCGCGACGAATAATTTTTTTATCGCTCAGGTCTAGTCAGGGGCTGTTCAAGTATTACGTAAGCACTATGGAGGGGCGGGAGGGGGGGGGGCATGACAGGGGGGGTAGGGTGTCTAGATGACGATTACGTCATCGGTAATTATTTACTTTTTCACACGAATGGCAACCCTCACATTGTTTTTGCTAAAAAAACAATATATTCATTGAAAAATGTTTACGTTCATCATGGAGGGGGGGGGGGGGGGTAGGGGTAGAAAAAGTATAATCCATCACATTTAAAATAAGTATTGTTGCTAAGTAACAGTTTGTATTACTTTTACTAAATTATATTTACAACTGTATATATAATCCACTCAATATCTCTATCAGGAGTTGGAGGGGGGGGGGGGGGTTAAATTATTCTAATAAACCTGCCTACGTAATAAGACATCTAGTTCAAACGAACCCCTTCCCTCAGGCTAGGTCAGTTGCACTTCGAATCGATGATCTACTTTATTTTATGTCAATCAAAAACAATCTACAACCTTTCTGTCTAGACATTTTCATCATGGTCCTTAATTTCAGATAAAATAAGATTATACTTTTGTAATATATGGTTAAAATAAGGTAGTTTATATATTTGTCATAAGTAGTTGTAACATGTAATTGTATAAATAACTGTTGTATTATGGTTATCGGCTAATAAACTAATTCCGAGCAAGAGGTGTTTCAATTATTACAACTTTATACTGGTATTTAAAGATAATATCTAGTTGACATGCGGATAGGGGGGGCCACAGGCGTGGATTGCTTAGAGCACTGGTTTCCAAACTTGTGTCGTAGACCCATATTATTCTGTTTTGGGTAGACCCCCCAATCTCACCTCGTATTGATTTTTCGTAAATTTCTTACTGTAGTAAAGTTTCGTGTTAAAAACAACAAGATGACCACTGTCGTAGATCCCTTGCAGTTTGTCATAGACCTGGGGTGTTCCAGACCCCCCAGGGGTCTACATGATATCATGAGTGAGATGATAACGTGATATCCGTAGTATGTATATAGACGACGATGACCACTTACCGTCCGTGGGCCGTGACCTTATCAGTCATTTCGATTACTTAAAAATGCAATTGTAATAGCTTCAGAACTTGACATATACATTATTAATATAGTTAAACCGGGTTTTATGACGAATAATTTAATGGTATACTAGCTGTTTAAAATAAAAGTAGCCTGAGTTACTCCTTACTACATTAGCTACCTGTCAAAATCGGTCCAACCATTTCAGAGATTAGACGGAAAAACAGCCAGACAGACAGACAAAAATGGTGAAAAATGTTATTTTGGTGTATGTACCGTATTTATATTCATATACATGTAGTAAAAAACGGTTATTTCAATATTACAAACAGACACTCCAATTTTATTTATATGTATAGATGTATAGATAACGCTATTTGCCTCTCGACGTTTCGAATAGGTTGCACCTACTACTACCTTTAATTATTTATTTTTATTTTTTTTTTATTTATTTAAATAACTGCACGTCATACACAGGTAAAAAGTACCTTTAATTATCATAAATTTTTTCGTGTTAAAATCCATTTAAGTCTATTAATAGTGTCTAAAAATAAGTATTGCCAATTAGTTTACATGTGATATTTGATACTGTTATATGTTCTGGGGAATTATGGATTCTACAGCCGGAGGTTGTGAAAAAATCAACCTTTTTCTTAATATTGATTTAATAATATGAAATAATAGATACAATGCTTACAGTTAGATGTTAGAACATATAATGAATTACTTTATATAATTATATAAAATGAAATGTACCTATTGCTATGACGTGATATGGGGTGATGCTGATCATGTATTTGGTGCCGCGTGGGGATATTATTGGGGACTGCAAATGAAGCGATCCTCGTATGCAACTACTAGTCTTGCAAAACACCTTCCCTCGTAGAAAAGCGACTATTGAAAACGTTTGTCAACAATGTTATATATTTTTTGTTTGGCTTTCAGTGGCAGAATGCTAACAGTAGTGCTCTGTATTGGCATATTGCTGCTTGCAAGTTGCAGTATGCAAACGTAGTGTGCTCGAGCACGTCTCGGATCTGTTCAGATAAAAAACACCTCGCGGTCCATTTAGGTCATTACACTTATCTCGAAACGGTTGCCAATGAGCAAGCGTTTCTATTTAGTTTTCTATTGGACGTGGAGCCGTCAGACCTTCACCCATATAGTCGACAGACGTTGTCGGTGATTCGACCTGCCTCGGCTAATTCGAATTTCACGCCCCAACAATAATCGATTCAACGATATTGAAACCATCTATTTACGAAATTATTTATTAAGAAACTTATGAGTACAGTTTTTTCTTACGACTAAATATAAAAATATAACATTTATCAAGTACAAATATAACAATATACGTACAAACTAGATCACAGGACAACCAGGTTTGCTCTTTCACATAGTTTAAGTTTTGATTCTCTAAATCTTGAGCAAACGACACGTCTTTATATTTAAAAGGACTCGGTTGTGTATGTAGTTGAGATTTTCTTGGTTTAAATAAATAACTATTATTATGGCGAGTACTCGGAGAGATGAAATCAGGATCTCTTGTTGATTTTCACGGACTTGTTGGACACTTTGGCGACGTGCGGCTGCGGGTCGTCCACTTGCACATTGGTGGCGCGGACGAAGCCTGTCCTGTACCCTGTCTCGTGTATACGAGCGTTAGGGCTGAGTTTGTCTGTGCGCTCCCTTTCATCCGCACGCCCTGACTCATTAGTGCGCTCTTTGTCTTTCAGCGATCGCTCTTTTTCATCTGCTCTACCTGAATCATCCGATCTGCCGGAATCATCTGTTCTCCCAGAATCATCAGTTTTACCGGAGTCGTCTGTTCGCTCATGTTCCCGAATTCTTTCAGGGTCTTCCTGGAGGCGCTCGTGGTCATCTAGAAAATGCCCCGACTCTTCATTTTCAGGGGGTTGCTCCAGGCGTGCTAGATCAACGTCTTTCGTCGGCGGAGGAATAGTAAGGCCTCTATAAAATTTTTCCTCTTCAGATATAGGAAGTTTTTTACCAAAGTAGTCGTAGTCGCCGGCAGAATATTCACCTTCAACGTCATCCTCGTCCTCTTCTTCTACAGAACGCGTTTTACGATTTTGCTTACGGCGTCGTTTGCGTCGAACTGGCGCTTCTGTTCTGTAAATAGGAATGCTATCCTCTCCTTCGGTGTCGGATTCCGGGTAATTCTGATTTTCTTCAGACTCTTCCGCCTCGTTACTGTCGTTCTCATCCCGGTCAGGTCGTTCCGGCCGCTCTCGATGAAGTTTCTTTGGTCGTTTCTCTTTATATATTGGAGGTACACGTACTGTAACTGTATCAATTTGATTTGGGTTATGTTCTGTAGGGGGAAGTACGCGTGGTTTCAATGGACGCCGAGGATCTTCAGTCGAGGTTGTTACTTCATGTTCATCATCTGCTTCCGGTAATGGTAGAGTGATTCGATTCCGATTTTCACGTGAACGCTGTAAACTTTGGTGAGATTCTTTATCACCTACTCTTCGAATTTGATTAGCAAGTTCACGGTCACCAAAATGAACAGTTTGATAATGATCCGCTGGGAGCTTTTTCGGTTTCTTCTTTTTTCCCCAGAAACGATTGACAGCATCGCCAAATTCTTGAACTGCTCGAGCTCGGTCACGAGATTCTTGAACATCTTCGTAATCATCATCATCAGCGGGCTGTACTTCTTCGTCATCATAAGCTATGTAGTCATCTTCAACTGCATCCCTCTGGGGGTCTAATGCTTTAGCGTCAATAGTATTAACTCTTTGTGTCACTCCATTTCGTAGCACAAATGCGTCAACGAATACTCTCGGCTCGCGTTGTTGTGGTGGCGGTAATCTTGCCGCTCGGGGCTCGATAGCGATAGGTGCAAATTGATCTTGGTCAACCTCTTCTGCAGCCAGCGCCGGTGCTGGAGTACTTCTTACAAAATTGAAGTTAAGTTGGAAGTTAGAAGAGATGGTTTCGAGATTGGGGTCGGCTTGTTGTTTAGGAGGTGGTGGTGGAGCCGGCGCACATGGTGATGGAGTGGTCGGATTCGCCCTGGGTTTAGCGCAGGGCGGTGGCGGTGGAGGTGGCGGCGGAGGCGGCGGGGGTGGAGGCGGAGGTCTGGGTTTGCGCGGCACCGCCCGAGGTTTAGGACAGGGCGGGGGTCTCGGAGGCGGCGGCGGTGGTCTCTGAGCCCTGCAGGGCGGTGGCGCGGCAGCACGCGGGGCTCCGCAGGGCGGCGCCGCGGGCGCGGGTGCAGGCGCCGGTGCGGGCGCGGCTCCCGCCTGCAGCGGCAGGTCTATACCGGGGACGGGAGCCAGCGGCGGAGGAAAGGCCGCCTGCGGTTTCCTTGCAACGCTATATCCGAGCACATCCGCGAGTCCCCTGAACACAATATCGCCGAAAGTACGCTTCCTTCTAACCACGGGTTCATCATCACCGTCTAATTCCACTAGAGTGTCGTTGTCGAGCTGGATGACTGTGCCGTTCCCGAGGATGACGGTGTTGAGCGTGCCGTCGCCGGCGTCACCGGGCACGACGGTCGCGTTGGCTAGTGCGTCGGAGGTGAGGTGAGTGAGGTGAGCGGCGGCCGCGGCCGCAAGCAACAGCAGCGGCAGCAGCGGAGACGCGGCGGGCCGCATGGTGCATGGTCAAGTGTCGCGCGGGAGGTCGCCGCCCGCGGTTTTGTTGCAGCAGCCGTTGCTCAAGTCCGACACGCTTCGCCAAACACGCGGCGCGCCCTGCGGCCCGCCGTCTGCCGCCATGTTATGATAAAGCACAGACAATTAATTGCTAACTACAGCCAGACACTTGTCAATTAAACTCCGATTCGATTGTTAAATTCAGACGCACCTGCAATCAGCGCGGCTGGATATTTCATGTCGCGTTCCTTTGACATTAGGAATGACAATTAGGAAATTTTATTTCGATTTTAAATTCAATTTCAAATTCAAAAATCATTTATTCATGTAGGACATTTTATCCGCTTATGACGTCAAATTTTTACATTATAAACCGCGACA